GTTTTGCTGGTTTAAGAGGATTTAGGTGTTACGGTTCTGCATGAGGTCAGCCTTAATGAGTGCAAGTTTTAGTTCGGGATATGCTCGTGTTACTATAGTGTCGTAAACAGTGGCACTGCGTACAAAGGCTGTCTGCTCAAAACGTTATTATTTGGTGATGATTTTAAAAAGAAATTGTCGTATGATGGAGTCAGTAGAGAATTGCAGATGTTTAGGAGCAGGTATTTCTGTGGTGCAAACGTGGCTACTCGGACATTACAAGCACCAAAACGTCCACGGAAATAATGCTATTTCTTACTCGTAAGACTAACGGTTTCCATTTTAACTGCCATATTGGTGATTCTTTTATGCGTTGAGTACCGACCGTGGGCCATGCCTTGCTGCAAAACGTGTTTTCATCGCCAAATTAATTGCGTATTTTCTCAAGCACTAAGCTCCTAGGACTCGTTCGTTTTATAAGAAAATAAGTTTCCTCCTCGAAAGCCCCAAGGCTTAAGGCCGTACTTGTTGCGCCGATTTCTGTCAAGGCTCGATCGGGCACTCTGCATCGGTCGCCTGACTGCCTGACGGCAATGAAAAAAATTGCAAATTTGTCTTAAATTCGATTTTAACAGTGCGACTTTTCTCGCAATTATTATAACGTGAGTCTAGAATTTTTAAAATTAAGAACGCTTTCTTCCAGAATGTCATAAACTTGATGCTTTGATCCTTCATAATGCGTCAAAGTACAGTACGCTACTGTAATCTTGAGACTTGCGAGGAATGCAGAAAGTCCGAAGAGTTAAAGGCAGACGCTGTCTTTCCTCCTTCACCCCACTTCATCACCCCGCTAGTCTCAAGATTACAGTCGCGGACTATACAGGGTGCAATGTCGTTCCACCGTGGACATTCGGTGTTTTACGCTCCTCTCTGTCCGTCCACTTTTGCGACTAGCCGCTGGCTGACAGCTCCTTCTGCTCCGAGTTCGCGTTCTCAGCGTCGTTAGGCAGCCATCTTCGTCCGTCCCTGCTCTCGTAGGACCAAAATCCCACTGAGAAAAAACGTGCTCCGCGTATTATTTTGTTGGAACCAATTTAAAAATCATAATGGCCGCCAATTGCCTTACTCCGTGTGTGCCTTGCTTGAATATTATTTACTGAGCAAGAGATTTGACGCTGAGGGATTAAAATGGAGTCTGTGTTTATCTGAAACGTTCACATCTGTCTGCTAGTCTACACGGCGTCGCAACCCAAAACATCTTGTGTAGGCCTAAGCTAGTTTAACCATTTAAATAATTGTTACACACGGACTAACCCAAGGTTTAACTATTAATGCTATTAATGTATCTTACAACAGATCTGCGTGTAAAATTGAACAGCTTGAAATTACTAGTCGACTGCCTGACCCTTCCGTTCTGTTTAGGGCCTTGAGGCTTTAGGTCGCGAAGTTATCGTACTTCATATCCGTTTCCGAAGGATACCTCATGGTTGTCCTCAGTGACATTGGTTATACTATTGAATTCAGTTAATGTAATAATGCAGATTCTGTTTGCCAAGTTATATTTGTGAGCTGTCTCCGGACTCTGTCACGAGTTGCTATTTGTTGTTTTCAATCGCCCTGATGATGGATACAAAAAGGACCTCTGAAACGTCGCTTAACTTCTACAGTGTACAGTGGTAGAAATTATTCCTAAAGCCTTGCTAAAGTCAAGGCTCTTGCGTAATATAAATTCTACAGTTCTGCTGTCATCATTCAATTGTACGACACCGGAATATACTAGTCCTACGTTTGCTTTCATTTTGTCTGAAAGCCTTGTGAAAATGTCTTTACATTGATATGAGATTTGAGGTTTGCACTGCCATAAGAAGAGCGGATTGTTGTCTTCTGGGCTGGGAGTACAACCTCGTAAGTAGTTGTCAGCGTCTCGGAGGAACACATCCTCTTCATATTCAAGGTAGAGACTTAGAAACTAGGTTATCTGCTCCACGTTGTAAGGGGTCATGTCCCCGGAGGGCCTTAGTCGTCTGCCAGGTCCTCTCAAACTCCAGCGCCATCCGATATTCAAGCTCCCAACTTTTAAATTATGTATCAGACGGGGAAAGTTTTCGTGCATACTGCATCAGTTTTAACCTCGCAGTCCCTTTAGGAAGCCTGTAAATTCTTGTTTAGACTAGCCCGCCTCGCAGCATTGCTCGATAAGTTGCCTCCCCGGCTTGGCGCTACAGGGAAGTCGTAGATCTGCTGCCGGTGTTATCCGTAAGGAAATTCCGGGATGTTTGCCTTCAGTCCAGAAATCTCGTACGTCGTTCTCTGGGGAAAACGGACACATCAATATATTCCGTTGTGTCTGTTGCTACTCGCGGCGAACGGAGAGTTCTAAGCACGAAATTAACCGGCTAGGACATGAATATAACCTCTCAGCTTAAACGGTGTCACGTGTAATTAGCTATTATATATTAGGGCACGAGTATGTCTGTGTGATAACAGTTCTGGAACTTTTCTGTCCGCCAGAGCACGACAAAAATATATAAGCCGAATGGACAGAAATGAGCGAGCGACCTCCGAATGTCATGTACCCCGAACTGTCTCACAATCTAGCGCCACTTCAACCGTGAGAATATGCAGTTATCTCTGACCTGAAATAGAACAGTCATTATTTTAGTGCAACGAGGTAAAAGTATCGAGAGTGAGAACTGAAAGTGTTGAGTTTTGTACCTGAAAAGTCTAATTAAAATGATTGCCGTTAGACAAAGCAAGCTGTTTAATCAGTGGAAACATTTCCTTCAATAGCGTGATGTCACGGTCGACTGAAGTTCCGCACAAAAGCAGATCGAGTCCGGACTGACAGAGTCAGATCCAGTCCATTTAATTACTAGATTAATCCCGAGCCCAAAATTTCAGAGTTCGTGACTGCCGATGTCGGTGAATTCTTTCATTAATTACGATCCTACTTTGTAGTATTAATGTTTTCCATGTACTTTTTTCTCGCAGTCATGTACTGTACGAGGTGCGATCGGAAAGTTTCAAGACTGTGTCAATAGCGGGCGAACCGGATGTAGTACGAGCTTCTGCCGCTAGGGGGTGCGGCCTACATTCATAGTGAATCAGTGTGCCAGCCGGCATCATCGAATTAGCATTTGTTTCTTAGTTACGGGCGTTTTGGTAGTGCATTACACCGACCCTCCTGCGATTTCGGAATGGCGCGTGTGCATCAAATTTTGCCAAAGACTCGCCAAAACGGCTAAGGAAACCTATGAAATGCTAAAGCAAACATTTGGGGAGTCCGCAAACTTTTGTGTGGCATTCACGTTTTAAAAATGGCCGAACCTCTGTCGATGATGACGAGCGTTCTGGACGACCATCTTCGAGCACAACGCCCGAAAATGTTACGAAGATCGACGTCGTACCATCAACGACTTGTGCGACATTGTTGGGATAGGCTATGGGACCTGTCAGCTGATTCTAAAGGAAGAACTCCACATGCGACTTATTCTTCTTATTCTTCTTCCTAAATACATGTTATTCGTTAAATGTCGTTAATAAACCGCATCACTGATGATTCTTGTGAAATCCGTACGGGAATAAACACATTCGTTCATTCTGACTGCTCCTTTCTGAAATAAAAAAAAATATATAAAAATTTACCTTAAAACACATACACTCTGCACTGCGTTAGCCTTTGAATCATTATCGTCCACGTAAGCGATGGAATGAGCCTCAAACGATGCGGAACAGAGGCGTCTTACTTCCCTCGTCTCCTTCCTGTCTCGTATTAACAACACAAACCCGTGAATTGTAACGTAGTTCACGCATTTCTCGCAGACGAGCATGAAAATACGTTTCACATTTTTTTTTGATTCGTATTGATTCAGGTTTTTTTTTTAAAAATTTTTGGAAACTGATTGTCGGGAGGACAGCATAGATTCAGGGGACCTTGACGTTTTACTACAGGCTGACCAGTAAATGGAATCTGTAACCTACGATATATGTTGAAATGGCCATGTTCGTTGACAAGTAGGGATAAGTTTGGAAGCGTTGCATGGAAGTAAAATCTTACGGGGTTTGCCAGATGTCTTACAGCGTAAATGTAATGGCATAGGCATTCTTTTGAAGTCATGTACTACTGTAGGCTTTCAGGTGAACTTTGCTCAGTGAAATTGCGAAACAACGTCTTCGGGTTTGTTGTGGCTTTCGGTCTGGCGGACGCTTACCGACGTTTCGCAATGACTTTCTGCCATGAGAACTGGAAATCTCATATATATTTTAATTTAAATATAATGCACATTATAAGTCTTTCTATAGACACTTTAGTTAGCATTTCCGAGACTTATGCTCAGTCCAGAGTAGTTTTTTTTTTTGCATTTATCTGCCTCCCTCATCTTCCGATTGTCCGGATTGCGGTGTATTTCTGAGCCAGGGACAATTGTAAGCAGTTACTAAAGTTTGCAGAGATAATCACTTTCCCACGGTCTCAGAGGAACGAACTGATTTATATTAACGCCATCGTGTGGATTACAGAAATTTAGTTTGTAATCGTAATGAAGGAGCGGAGATATTCACTCCATATTTTGCAAATGCGAACTATCCAGTTTTTGCATGCGTTATTGGCGAAGAATCTTTTGTAGCTTACGATCTGAAGCTTTCGCGGCGACTAAGCAGAAAATTCTTCTCGGGGCTACCGGCCGTGTCAGGCACTTACTTCAGTTCCCTGAACACGAGAACGAAGATTGCTCTCGAAACGTCGGTGTTTTCGCCTTTCAACCAACTAAAACGGCTGGTAGCCCCGAGAAAAAAATCATTATATCTTGTAGTGGTTAAGTTAAAACGTGTCTTATTCATATCATTCTCACTGGTATAAATCGCTTATAAGATTCTCTGTGAAATTGTTCAAACTTTTTATCGCCCGTCATTCAACACCGTCTATGCTTGATGTAATTAATGTAGGCAATTTGCACGTTATTTTATGCTGGATTGTGTACACACTAGTAAAGCTAATTAAAGCGTTAATAACCTGATTCCAGGTTGTTACTGGCAGCCTGCGTTACGTCATCATCACCGGCCGACTCCGATAAACGTACTGCTGATTCCGGAGGGCGTACAGCTGTGCAGGTCTGTGCCTTTGTGGTGTGTTGTGGTTGTGTGAAAAATGAAGCATTAGTTAAGTCCAGAGGAACGGAGAGCAGGGAACTATGAGCAGGTAGAACTTCGTACGAATTAGTCGTTCAAAATTACGGAAATATTTCAGAAACTTTTGCCCGTTGTTAGACACAATTTAATGCATTCGTTGTCCAGGAAACTCTATTGTAGTCAGCCTTCCCCATCCGGTTCAAACGTCTTAAACATACGTTTCCTCCGTCACAATAATTCTGATATCAAATGCTAAAGTCAGGACTTTATTATTTTAACTGTGTACGCAGGTGAGCGATCAGCTGTTTGAGAAGGGGAGGAATACAGCCTGCATCTTCATCCGCCTAGGAAAATCTTATTTATTTTTTGATGTTTCCCCTAAAGAAAAATACTGTAAAGCTCAGGATTAACCAGCTGTTCCATTAATCGCCCTATCGCTCGGTTGTTTGTTTGTTGGTTGTTTTTTAGCAGTTCGGGTGTAAAACCTCGGCTTTCGGCGATGAGTCGCCTCGAAAGTTGAAAGTCGAGCCCGTCCACGCAGCCCATGGTCACCAGAACTTCTGCGTGCACGTCGGCAGTCTGATATCTTCAGACCACTGCGTCGCCGACTGCCTTCTCAGAAAAGACTTCCCAAGAAGTTTCTAAAAAAAAAAAGTATCGCCCTGAAAATGGCAACTCTAATGTTTGCTGATGCATTTCAACAATAGACGCGGTTCATACCCGGAAAGACGAAGTTTTTGCATTTGTTTCTATTTGGTTGTTTCGCTGTTGAACTTCGTCGCGTACTTCGCGTAATGCACGTCAAAGATTCCTCTCGAGAATTTTTCACAAACTTGTAGAGACGTTCCACTCAGGTCTTGAAAAGTCCTTTTTTATTCAACCATTTTTAGGACATAGATAAATTGGTCTCTCTGGACCTCCTTTCCTAATACATAACTCATCCTTAACCAGCGGGGGAAAAAAACAAACATACTTCCTGTCCTGTGTGTGTGTCGTCTTAACAGGAACTGCGTTAAGTGCGTGTGTGATGGAGAGGTTAGGCATGCACGAATTTGTGTCCAAACCTATGTCTCATTTTCGAAGCTGCTGGACAAATTTAGATTAAATTTTGATATTGTGCGGTGGTCTGCATCACACGTGTGACTTTTCATAACCTTGCATAATTGTATTCTTACATTCGTCCATATTTTTCGGAGAATATCCACTAAATTACATGGAATAATAACCACATAAGCTTATATTCAATGTTAGGTACAAATCAGGAGCTCATGTACCTCGATCCTAATTAACGTAGACGATTGGTTCTTGGGGTGTGGCGCCTTGTACTCTGGTAGAAGCTTACCAGCGTTCAAGAGGTACTTGCAGCCTTCTCCAGGATTTGTTGTTCTCTTAAACATTATTCTCCTCGCTCGCTGCGTCTTCTTTGTCGAAGCTCTTTCGCCTTCCGTATTTCCAGCTCCAAGCTGCTCTCTCTCTCTCTCTTTCTCTCTCCATTTTCTGCAAATTCCTCAGGCGAGCTCGCCCCCACATTAATTCCTCCGCGCTCCAGATTCGTCGTCCAGAGACAGAACCTGGTGAGGCTCTCGGTTTTCTTCCGTTCGATAAACGAGGTCGATCCATATCAGTTTTATAAAGACAATTACTAGCAACAAGATCAGTAAGAACGTAACTATTCAGCAGAATCCATTTTGAGAAGCTAATAGTTGCTCAGCTAGCAGAAAATGATCTTCCATTTACATACCCCGAAGTTTCATTGACTGTTCACAAGTTCCATTTTAATATTGTTTTCTACCTATGCTCAGATATTCCAAATTGCCTGTCCCTTTAATATTTGCCTCGTGTCATCGTGGACCAACGTGGCCTCCAAGATCTCCGGACCTAACCTCACTTCATATCCTATCGTGTGGGAGCCAACGGACCGAAGTGTACAGAGGATAGGAACAGCTGATGCTCAAATGCTCTCGGCCGTGAGGAATGATAGCTCAGCCGTTGTTAATGCCCACTAGTCGCATTTGGTGACGGACGCAGTCGATAACAGTGGCGGACTGTGTGAAGCTGGCCGATCGGCAAGACCTGATTAATTCTCTGTTGTGGCGCTCTTGGGGCCCTAATTAGCTATGCGTATTGCTACTTTCCGGACGACCAGGTCGCCCGGATCCCTTGTTACTGTACGCAGTTCAAAGTTCAGCCACTGTGACGCGTTTGTTTTGTGTTCGGGTAACAAATATTCCTGTGTCATGTTACCGCAGGGTTCTTTAAAATTACCGCCCGTCACTCATTTCGGTTCGTTTGTTTATTTGCCGTTGTAACAGAGTTGATTGGCCAGTTACACCTCTCTAAACAGCATATTTCGGTGTCGAAGTGAGTGGATAATTGAACTCGAAATTCATTGAGCTTCGGCTACAAATTTTATAAATGCATTTGTTGAGATTGTGTGAAATATATCATTGGCTCTCATGTTTTATTGATTCAAGGCGTTATATTTAGACTTCATAAAATTATAGGTGCAGTCTCAGTGAATTAAGTCTTCGTCTGAAGTACGCAATTTAAGCGTATGTGGGCCTACTTCTTTATTTACCATTTGCTTACCAATGACACGGTTTATAGTTTAATAATCTTAAGTTACTGTCACATAGTCCTGATTCCTTTTAAAATTTAAGTTTCCAGGAAAACGTCCTCCACTTTTCAGTATTACAGTTCTCTTTTTGACGTAAATACGTCTATATTTTAGGGTCATTACATTACATTACTTTACATTACATTCAGCTACCACAGACCCATTTTAAGCGTAACTAATTCAAGTTAAATAAGCAATGTCTTAATCAAACTTTACTCAATTGTAAAGCAGGTATAAAGGAAATATTTAGAATAAAGCCAATATATAAACTTCCTTTCCGTGTAGACGTATTTACGTCAAATTCTCCGGAACCTTGGTTCCACTATCACTTTTTTTGGTTCGTTGGAGCAAACCTGTTTTTCACGTCGCTGTATTTTTGGGTTATCAGTCATTTGGGTTCACATATTTACCATGCCCAAACCATCTGCCCATCTCATTCTCATAGCCTACGAAGCAGGGAAAGCGTTCCCGGATAACGCACGAGGAGATTACATTTATCCTTGTTAGCCCTGTCTGCGTACGCTAACAGGTTAGTTACAATGTGACTATCATGGGAATCGTTGTCATTTCGGGCTTACGCAGATTTGCGCTGTTCTAAGGGCCGTGGAAGCTGTGTATGGCCCAGAGATCGCATGTCTGTAGGCTCCTGTTCTATAAAGCCAGTGACGTGTAGCTTATTTTGAAAAGTTTAAACTCCCGTTTGTGCTGATACCTTGATTTTATGTTTGTCTTCGCAGTTTACAAAGTGTGCTTGGAAGACATGCTGACAAATTCAACGGTTACCAGTGGTTGTGGTTGGCTAACGGAAGAAAACGTAGAAGCAAGTAGAGAATCATTATGTGTGGATAAAGTAGCCACTTAGTTTTTGTCAAATGGGCTAATTGAAACCGATCAGACCATTTGTGTTTGGAGTTGGCCCCTGCGGATACTTCAGATCAAGCATCTGCTAGACGTTCCGAAATATCTTCTGGAATTTTATCGTCACTGGAACAGGCGTCTTGGCGGTCCCTGACCCCTGAAATGCCAAAATACTCGGTAAACCATAAAATACAAGAGGACCATTTCCGTTCTCAGTTCCCACTGTCTTCAAAATGTATGGGCTCTGATTACAACGAATATCAACTTCCTAAACGAGTGTCCAACTGACTTAAGACCCGTACCAGACATTTGTCCGGAGACACGTCCCCCTCCACACTATAGACAAAGGAAGATTTTATAGTTTGTGAGCGTGTGTGGTGAATATTGAAGGGAACTGTAGAATTGTAGGCCTGTTGGGTGCTCGTGTACGTATCGGGTTCTGATGATTGAAGGACGGTGATGGGCAATTCTGCTCCTGACGACCGAACTCGACGTTGCTCGGCCTGTAATCCCCCGGGTCTTTATAAAGTACAGTAATTTCTTCTGTAACGCGTATTTTGTAACTCAAATTAGCGATCGGCTTGTTGGAGAAAGATGCTTTTATGACGCGGGTGCATTCTGGATAAAACGCTTTCGAATTAATTGACTGACTGTTATAAAAGAAATTGCATTTGTGATGGTGAATCCAGATTCTCTGTCCCTAATCCCTTAATTCTAGCTTAGCCTGCGATTTTTTCCAGGAACGCGACTATCGCGTTGCGGGATAAATGATTGTGATGTAAAAGCATCAGAACACCCGGTGAATCGGACTTGGTCCAGAGGCAGACGCAGCGCACTCTAGTGGAACACTCTGTCGTCATTTGTTTTCAGTTTGGAATCCAATTCCGCGGCGGTAGGATTTCCTCCTCCTCCTTCCAGGCTAGTTTCTCTGTGTTCCCTATCTTTATTTTTCATTTCCCTTTTCTTCTTTTGTCTCACTTTCTCGCTCTCTCTGCTTTCTTCGGGTGGAATTTCCGCTGCACTGCATATTGTTTCGTGGATCATAAGTTCGAAGGAGTCTCGTGCCCCTCCTCTCATTTACATGTCTTTGTTATCTCCGTCTGTAAAGTGAAAAATGCAATTGATTCCCATGGCGTATTAATTTTAGAAGTTTTGCGGCCTTTTGTTTTCGTTACGTCAGCTTTTCAAAGCACTAAAGAAATAGTACAAAGCAGACTTCATTTGTTTGCTTGTTTAGTCTGCAATTGGCATTTGTTTCGTATGTGGTGCCTTGCTCTGAGCGAAGAGCTTATTTCAGACATTTTAGTAAAGTTTGACGAAGCGTAAAGCACGCAGAAAACCTAGGATATCACGTGACGATGAATTTTACACGGGAGACACTGATGGCTGAGAATGTAACTGGAGTCGTAGGAGTTTTGCGAGGGCACTTCCAGGGGAACATCCCCTTGGAACAGAGAGGCGACGGAAGAACTGATAACTTGAAATGCCCTCACGGAAGGGGGACGGA